ATATATATATATGCTTTTATTTATCTAATAAAATTACAAATTATACTTTCGTTCTTGACCTTGTACATTATCTTGCACATAGGTTTAGTTACTAATCTCTTTACAATAGAATAGATAGCTAAAAAGTAAGAATGCAACGAAATAAAATTTTCCAAAGAACTTGAAACGTTGCCTTACGAAAACAAAAGATTCAGGTAGATATTACCTTGGGGAAACAAAACTTGGAACAAGTTTATAAGAGTTCAACATATTACAAGGTAAACCTTAAAAGACGTTGTAAAAGCTTTTGAAACATAGACGAGTCCATCGACAACACCACAAGCTTCACATACACAGATAAAGTAAGCACAACTGTACGAATATGGGCTCTCTCTGGTCTCGGACATTCAAAAATCACAATCTATATTTTAGATGGTACAATTCGTTTTGGTAGCTTCTTGATTTTGTCAAAAAAGTCGTTTTCTTGTCTAAAGATGGTGAATAGAGAAACCTATACAATTTAAAATGGGTCGATTTCAAGATGAGCAACAACACGAAACCATAGGAAAAAGCCAACTTATTTGGACTTTGTAATGTCTTGTAACCGTGACCAAATTTTGTCCAACAAATCTTCTGAAATGATTTTACATTTTGTCACGTAAACAGAGTAGCTTTTACTCCAGAAACCCTCGCCTGCAACATATTTATTTATCCGCACAATCAAGAATTGTTATTGAAATTTAAAATTAGATATTTCTTTCCCATCAAGCAAGTTTATGAAGAATATATCGGGAAATTCAACAGTCCCAGTCCTGGAAAAGGATATTGAAGGAATGTACAACTGATCAATCCAGTTTATTTATAGGGGGATAATATTCACTGTCTAAAAGCTAATATACTTTCAATGTGAACACTTACTAACAATAAATGTGTACTCCTGTTAGATTGTGTCCTTTAAGGTGTGCTTTAAAAACGGATAAAACTGTGAAACGTACAGCACATACAGCATGTTCCATCATCAATCTCTCTCTCTCTCTCTCTCTCTCTCTCTCTCTCTCTCTCTCTCTCTCTCGGGGCCCCGAGTGGCCGAATGGTCTAAAGCGCTGTTCGTTACGGATCACTGCCATCTCACATCAGTTTGCGTGGGTTCTAGTCTAGGATTCGGCGAATGTGGATATGTGAGAAACCTTGCCAGTAGCTTCTCGTGGGTTGTTGGTTCTTTCCGGTGATTTCCCAGTTTCTTCCTCCACCATTAATACTGGCCGCCATGAATAGCCTATCGTGTGCTGAAAAATGGCGTTAAGCAAAACAACAACAAATCTCTCTCTCCCTCCCTCCCTCCCTCCCTCCATCTCTCTCTCTCTCTCTCTCTCTCTCTCTCTCTCTCTCTCTCTCTCTCTCTCTCTCTCTCTCTCTCTCTCTCTCTCTCTCTCTCTCTCTCTCTCTCAAGTAAATACGCCAATACAATCAGACATGTGTTATAGGTATAATTCGTTTCCAAGCATAATTTCAAGGCGAACTGCAAATAACGGTACATACCCCCCTCTCTCTCTCTCTCTCTCTCTCTCTCTCTCTCTCTCTCTCTCTCTCTCTCTCTCTCTCTCTCTCTCTCTCTCTCTCTCTCTCTCTCTCGTAAATACGCCAATACAATCAAACAGGTGTGATAGGTATAATTCGTTTTCAAGCATAATTTCAAGGCATACTGCAAATAATGGTACATACCCCTCGACACTGTGGGATAACGGTACATACCGTTCGACACTGGAGTAACGGTACATACCGTTTGACACTGGAGTAACGGTACATACACCTCGATACTGTGGACTAATGGTACAAAGCCCACGACACTTTAATAACGGTACATACCACTCGAAACTGTGGAGTTTAATAAGGAATAAAACTGAGAAATTTACAGTCGATCCATAGATAATCTTCAGGTTTATGAAACTTCTGATTGTTAGATAGTTAAGAGCAAGCAAATGTATCGGTCAAAATAAGCCAGAAGATAACAATGCAATCAAAAGACAACCAACACAATCAGAAAAGGTATTAATACAGACAGCTGGAACTGAACAGTAAAGAAAACACCTTAATTGAATAAGTAGAAGAAACAGAGAAAGATGTCGGCGAGTCTGTAGAACATAAACTCATTTTGAAAAATTGTGTAACAAGACACGCTAGTTGCACAGAAAATGAAACGAAAAGGAAAACTTTTGGTCGGTACATTTTGACTGTTGATTTCTGCTCCTCAACGAAATATTGCAACCGAGAGTAGAGCCGACAGAAGTTGAATGGGCTGTAAACAAAAGATTTTTTTTAAACAAATAATAATAAACATAATAAACTATCAATTCATATATAACTCAAAACAATAATTTAGTAAATAAATTATAAAGCTTAAAATATAATGACGCTTTTACAAACCTGAGATGGAAATAAATAATGTCAAAGATGGAAAAACTACAAAAAAGTAAGGGCAAAGTTAATGCATTTCCGAGTGGTATGGCAGATTTAAAAGAAGAATCTCGGAAAAGATATGTTACTTCCCTGAACAGAACAATACAAAATATCAAATAAAAGAGCAATGCCCTATTTTTGTTAAGTACCTGACTTACCGATCCGGTGACCTAGTGGCTAAAGAATCCACCTCGGATGCGGGAGGTGGTGGGTTTGATCCCCGGCCGACTCATAACAAAGACTTTCAAAGATGGGTTTTACATCTGTCTCGCTTTGCGCGCATCATTGAGAGGTTAGTGTTATGACTGGTCGGCTTGGTGTCAGGCTAATGTGACTGGGTGGGATATCATGCTACATGTCTGCAGTACGATGCCTCATTGCTAGACATCACTATAAACTGCCACACTGCAAACATCGTAACGATATGACTGAAAAACTGTTAAAGCTACTTTAGAAATCCAAATCACACACACACACACACACACACACACACACACACACACACACACACACACACACCAGTACCCGACTTATAAACAAAGTAACTCATTCCCGGGTATGTCAAGAAGATTCCACTTCGTCGGCATTATATAATCAATTATTTGTTAAAAATGTTGCTAATGGCTAGAAGAACTGAATAATGAAATAAAACAAGGCGATCAATTAATCATTAACATCAACTACAGAAAAATTGAACTGATCATTAACATAATTAGTAATAGTTTCACAAAGAACAGAATAGTTCCCACAAAATTCTAATTGATACATGGAGGTTAGCACAACCAAGATAAATATGAATGGATCGTGATAAAATAGGTTGAAAACAAAACACGTGTATTATATATTTGCGTGTCGATTAAAACTACAAAAGATTTCATTCCATGAACTCGTAACATTCTGCGGTTGAACAACCCAAAACAATACAAACTGCTATGGTATCGTCAACTGATTAATGCTATTGTTATTATACAATGTAGTATTGACAAATTTGACGAAAGAGCTAAAACGAATGACGGAGGATTATAATGATACGAGACAAAGTGTGACTAATTTAATATTAATATATTAAATTAATACTGAACTGATAAGAGCTGTTTCCATCTGGTAGTATAATAAAATAGACAAATCATTAACAAATGAAAATATAGACATGATTAACAGATTTGAACATTGACATAGCAAAAAGAGATTCTCATGTGCTCCAACGGATGAGTCAAAAACAAAAATTGATTTCAACAACATCGATTGTTTATAAAAACGAGTTTGAATTCTTAATGACTTTTATGGTCTTCCAATTATGAAGTGTCCGGATTGTATTAATTCTGAGAGTGAATGTAAAGGGTCCAGTTTCAACTTTTAAATGCAAAGATGATTTCCAATGTTTGAATTAGTAATATCGATGCTTCTTGATATATTAATGCTTTTAAACTCTAACCAGGTCATTAATTAACAATTATGGATTTAATTATATTTGTCACGTATTGCTAAATGCAAGTTGTTTTTTTTTTTTGGCGACCGCTCTGATGACCTAAGTGGTTAGAGCTTCCGTTTAGGATACGGGAGGTCGTTGGTTTGAACCCCTGTCGAGTCATACAAAAGACTTATGAAAATGGCGTTAAGCAATAAGAGGTTAGAGTTTGGACTGGATGGCCTGGTGTCAGGATACTATGACTGGGTAGGACATGATGCTGTCTGTGGCATGATGCCTCAGCCTTAAATATCACTCTAAATTGCCACACTGCAGATATCGTATTGATATTACTGACGAATTGTTTACGCTATGTTAAAATCAAAATCACACACACACACACACACATACACACACACATGCTTCTTAGGCATAATTCTTATACACCTCGATATTTAGCAAGTACGATTCGAGTATTGTTCAATTATTTCCCATATATAACGCCCAAAAGAGAACCGAGTTTCAATAATTGGACATAAAACAAAGGAGACATTCTGCTAAGAAGTAAAATAATAGCTAGAAGAATATTCAATTGCTTTCGTGCTAATAGACACAAGTATTCATCCGCTACAGCAATGATGAATGGAGGAACAAAAAGCTCCAGTCTAGAGTTTGCAGTATGCAGATTAATGTCCGCGTGATGGATCCATATGGATATGAAGAAGAAAACAACGAACAGGACAAATCTCTGGAAAAATAGCAAAAAGATCAGATTTTGTGAGGGAAAGATAGACTGTAACTCAGGATTACGTCAACCTGGAGAATGTTTTGGCTCAGTGTGTAACTCCAAGCTGCTATCTTAAAAAAAAAACCAGGTGAAGAACAGGCAAAGTATCTATATATACTTCTGAAGTGTGTGTGTGCGTGTGTGATTTAGATTTTTAACGTAGCTTTAACAATTTTTCAGTCAAATCGCTACAATGTCTGAAGTGTGACAGTTTATAGTGTTGTCTAGTACTGCGGCATCATGCCGTAGACATGTAACATGATGGTACACCCAGTCACATTATCCTGACACCATACGTAACACTAACCTCTTAATGCTGAGCGTCAAGCGAGGCAGCTATTAGTACCATTTTTTAAAAAGTCTTTGGAATGACTCAGCCGGGATTCGTACCCACGGCCTCCAGCATCCGAGGCGGACGCTATAACCAATAGGCCACCGGAGGAAACACATACATACTTCTGATCAACAGGTAAAATATATATACATTTATCGAACAGGTAAAATACGTAAATATAAATTCTAATTTTTTCCATTGTTGGAAATTGTCCTATATCTGTATGTAAAATATGCAAGTGAATTTAAAATATGGGTTTATAATGTTGTTCGTGATGATCAAAAATCTCATTCCTGAGGTATCCGCTAAGGGATTCTATTGTAACCATGGGCGCCTTCACATTGCGACAATACCCTGCTTTCACCTGTAAACATGTTTTGAACTAAATCAGTAAAAATTAACAGCTGACCACTACATGTTGGACCCCTTAGCCAGTCCCACACCACCCCTGGGAAAAATTTGGCCGGCGCCCTTGATTATAATAGAATAATATCCTATGCTACTCTTATAGCATTCACATTTTAATGGTTAAATTAGGAAGCCCCTAATAACGTTTTTTTGATTCCTGTAATTCAGTAACAGAAATACGACTCTATCTACTTCACAATCTTTCTAATCAGTAGAGCGAACATCGGTTCAAGTGTCACGTTCTCTTTCTATGTACAAGTCTAATCGAATTGTACTTATGTTTACTTCACTAGCAACGAGGGAAACACACTTTCAGTGTGTTTGTTTTAGAGAGGCATTGCATGACATTTATAATGTGAATTTGGTTAGAATGTTTGTGTACACAACTCTTTGTACAAATATTCTTCAAACATGTAGAAGGAGTAGTAAAACGAATATGCCGACGGGGAGTAAAACAGCTGTAGCAGGTAAATGGAATCTCTCTCTCTCTCCCTCTCTCTCTCTCTCTCTCTCTCTCTCTCTCTCTCTCTCTCTCTCTCTCTCTCTCTCTCTCTCTCTCTCTCTCTCTCTCTCTCTCTTACACAAACACACCCCCACCCCAGCACACACATACACATGCACACACACTGTCATACTCAGAGGTTCAGGCGTTTACAGTGTTGCCAACATGATGCTCTGGTCATTTTATAAATTTTTATTTTATGAAATGGATATTTGCTGAATCTACAAATTATGTGTATTTTCACAAACATTAGCAAATAAGTATGTAAAATTATCAGCGAATGAACCTTTAGGCTGGAATAAAACTCATTCAAGTCTTAAGAGTTCATTACATTTCAATCAAGAAGTACGAGAAAAAAGAGTACATACACATATTAAGAAAAATATTTGAATATAAACTTTGTTCTCTGGCATATATAATGACAAGAAATTCAAGAGCGAAACGTACGAGCTAGCAATATGGCCCCAGGCAACTCCGTCAAAATCTCTAATTATAATGAGACAGACTGCGATAATAACTAAAACAAAAATTGATTAACACTAGAAAAGTAAATACTTTTGCTTGTTCTATTTTAGGTACGTTTAATAATTTTTTTTTTATTCAAATAATCTATTAATATCTTTATTAGGCTTTATCCCCAACTATTTGCTAAAATCTAAAATGGCCGCCTAACATATAAGGGGAGATAATTCAATGCTGAACTTATTGCAATAATGTAGTTTGCTTTTCATATTGTGTCAACGAATTAAATGCACTACCCTTTTGTTGTCTAAGCTATTAATGTAAACTGTATCCTTTCACATTGTTCATGGCCTAGGAAATGTAATGCCTTGTGTAAGTCGTAGCATAGGAATTAGATGGTATTGTGTAAGTTATGGCATAGGATGTGTTTTGCCATGCGTAATAGGAAATGGGTTATCTTGTGAAAGTGATTCTGAAAGAGCATTGATACTTTTCACTCATAGCGGCAAGATGGTCATAAACCAAGTTAACACATCGTGAGTAGTTATCTCCGTTATTCCTGGCACGGCTTAGAAAGTAAAGTCCATGGGACGTTTCCGATTACTGATGTTAATTGAATGGCCATCATAATATTATACTAACATTTAAAATGTTCTACAACTCTGTTTAAATTCCCACAACTAATAGAAGCGGCCAAGAGAACGAGAACGCTTTTAATCAAAACTTAAATTTGTTTTATCCAGATAAAAAAGCGAAGTACCCATGTATTCTTAAATTAGGAGATAGACAAAAATGCATTGTGTTAAAATAAAGGCCAAAGCCTAAGGTAAAGTTCCTCTCCAGTTATCACTGAAATGTATATGGAGATTGGAATGAACATTCACATTAATATATTTCCAACTTTTATAAGAAGTCACAGATTGTAGAACTATATCGTATTTTATCATTAGGATTATCTTTAATTATAGGGTGTACTCAATATTTAGTGAAAGCTCAAGGGTAGTGGGAGAGGGCGGGGTAGTGGGGAGAGCAAGATTGGTGGGAGAGGGTGGGATGGTGGGGAGAGCAAGGGTAGTGGGAGAGGGGAGGGTAGTGGGGAGAGCAAGACTAGTGGGAGGGGTGGAGGGGTGGGGTGGTGGGGAGAGCAAGACTAGTGGTAGGGGTGGGTTGGTGGGGAGAGCAAGGGTAGTGGGGTAGGAGATGGAGAAATTACAGTATTATTTTATACGACAATATAGAAAGATTTGTTTCATTGCAATTATGTCATATGCGGTATATGAATACGCCCATTGGCACTAAGTGATATCTTCAATAATGGCTTTTAGTTGGGAATCAATTTCATTGCCAACTGATTTTCAACAAGGCCTTCCGTCGTATCACCAAATACTACTAAAAGATCAGCAAATATTGATTTGTCCCTAATTATTCTCTCTGTAATTAACTCTTACAGGCCGTGGTAGGACGAATGACAGTGCAACTATATTAGACCCTCGAAATGGGATGTACACGTGCAAACCATACCAACCTCATCTCTATGACTTCAAATACAGAGAATATAAATATAAACCCTACAAGCAAGTGTACGAGGACCCACTAAGGAAGAAGACAGAAGTAATCCGACCATATAGATCGTATGTGCCACAAGTGAGCTACAAGAGATCCTTGGATTATCAGCTACCTAAACAGGGTGATCTTTTAGTTAGAAAAGAAGAACCGATCATTCGGGAAAGCTTCAAGGTGAAGGCGAAATCCCCTAAACAATCACAACCTGCACGCAAACCACCTGTGGTTGTTACAAACAATAACATCTATAATGAAGCGACTCATTTAAAGGTGTGTTTTCTTCCTCAACCTGGTGACATCTTAATAAAATTAATAATAATAATAATAATAATAATAATAATAATAATAATAATAATAATAATAATAATAATAATAACAATAATAATAATAATAGCGATGCTACTGCTGATGCTCGTAATAATGATTACCATCGTTGTCATTCCAAAGGGATGTACACCTTTGTCAATCACAATGTATTTACTGTGTAATCATGATCTTATGACGTTGTATGCACACACACACACACACACACACACACACACACACACACACACACACACACACACACACACACTATTTAATGGAGATAAGAATAAAATTTCGGTAACAAATAACAAAATGAAAATGACACTATATTTTTTTCATATATATTTTGACTTTATGACTTTCTCCAAGGGAGGAAACCAAAAGTGCGCTTCTTATCGTAAAAGTCTTAAAATGGATGAGTAAACAATTAAATTTAGCAATATGAAAATTAAAGTAATATAAAGTCAGACGGACAAACATACAGGCTTACAAACAGTATCACAAAATATGTTACCTTTCATAATTATTATTTTACCTACCATACTAAGGTACTCTCAAATCGATATAGTAGTGAAAACCAGATTTCATATCATAATATGCAATTCGACTAAAGTTATGACTTATATTTCAGCGATTCCGATACCAGCCCTTGTTTTCCAAAATATCTGTGCTCCAGTATCATCGTTTCATACCGCCAGTTGACTGGTGACGTAAACTTAAGAACAAATACGTAAAAATGTGTTGATGTTGGGAAATGAATAGTCAGACTGGGCTTTACATTACAATCTTGTGTCTAAGGTTAGGCCGTATCTCTTCCATAACTTCCGGGTGCAAGTAGATGTTTCAAAGGACGGGTTACCATTGACACTGCATCCCTTCATGGAGTCCTTTGATTTGTGTCTTAGATATAAAGTTTCAAATCCATAATTTTATAAAATGAGATGGAAATATACAATGTTACAATTTAAGGCTAATTATAACTCATCCTAGTGCAATAAGTAAACCAAAGAAGAATATGTACATATTTCTAAGGTTCTATCTACAGTTTATTGTACATCAAACAGACTTAGTAACGTTCAGTGATAAAATATTTCCAATGTTGGTTAAGCGAATATTATGAATAAAGGGAATAGAGACAAGGAAACAAATCGGTCTTTGATTGTTCCCTTGATTGTAACAATTCGCTTTTCAAACTTTTTATCACTTATACCAGTGAACATTCATTGTAATTTAGTATTCCTATTTTGAAATGTTCAATTGATAACATCAGTTAGCCAGAGACCGAAATTTATTAATCATAGGACCTCGTCGTATTGGTCCACTTCGCATACTCTGAGAGGACATGAATTTTAGCAGCGGAACATCTTGGAATATTCCCCGTATTAAGACGAGTCTGTATTCGTCGGCCTGGTTTTTTTGTTTTTTTTTTTTTTTTTTTTTTTTTTTTTTTTCTTCTTTATGGTGCTAAGTATTTTTTTTTTGCGTTTAAAGCGCTTTTTTCGTGCATGATATGCTATACGTGGCAACCTGTATAACTGGTGGAGGAAAAAACCCGGGAAAACACCGGAAAGAAACACCGACATACGGGAAGCTGCTGGCAAGTTTTCGCACATACCCACATTGGTCAAGCCCGAGTATGGTACCCACACTGACTTCAGGCAGACGGATATGACGGGTAATGGCAAGCACCTTTGACCATTTGGTCACCCGGTGCAGGGTTTTGTATTTGTATAACTAGTAAATTTTGGATTGGCATATATACACAATTTGTTTAATTTAAAAATTAATGCATAAGAGATACTATAACTCAAAAAGTGATAGATAAGTTTGTCTTCTCACAGTTTATACACAATTCTGAAATG